CAGCCCTGCGCGGGGGCTCCGCGCTCGGCCCTGCGGAGCGTCGCCTCCTGCTCAAGCGCTGCTGTGCTCTCTGTTGGCTTGTTTTTCCTTTTGGGCTTCATTATTGTTACTAATTAGTTAGCGATATTATTTTGCTATTGCTATTAATTCATAGCAACATTAACTTACTAATATTACTTTACTAATTTTACTAGTATTAATTTTCTCATCTACTAGTATTAACTCACTGTCTAGCTTGCACTTTTGTCAAGCTGTCTCCTGTCTGCAGAGGTCACTGCTTTTTTTCCAGGCAGTTCCCAACATGCTCTTGCATAGACAAATAAGTGTATTTATGGTCGGCAATCTTTTCTTGGCCACAAAGTGTGGAAGCGGAAGGCATTAGCTACACAGGCTACTTTTAAGAGAGCTTTGGCTTCTCCTCTCCTCCTCTTCCAGGGCTCTTGTCTGGGTTTTCTCTACCTCTCCGCATTGCTCAATCGTAGAGTCCAGCACACACCTGCCTCGCCACGTTTAGCAGATCAGTGTGCACCAGCTGGCCCTCCGCAGGGGCGTGTGTGCTCGCAGGCCGGATCTTCTACAGGATCCTTTGTCCCGGATCCGCTGCCTGGGTCACCGGCCGCCAGGCGCTTCCGAGCTGTCTCCATCAATGAGACACAGGCGGATTAGGGCTCCCCCCGCCCGGCTGCGCTGGCCCTGGGCACAGGGCGGGTGCTCTCAGGGTGCCTGTCCGTGTCCATCGCTGCAGCGGCACCCATGAAACCTCCCTTGTAGGTGACTCAGCAAGCTGAGCTGAGAGGAGGGCTTCCTCTCCAGGAGAAGCTGAATCCTGGCTCCCGCTTCCTCGCTGAGCTCTCTAACCAGAGTACCGCGCACAGGGGTGCACACACATGCTCTCTTCTCCGTGTTTTGCAGATCTCTGACGCCTCCATGTGTGGATATCACTGCTTCCATGGACTGTTTTCTGCCAGAGCTCTGGAGTGTGACAATGGTGTTTGTGTCCAGTCTATCAAACGCCATTATCACACTAAATAGCTACTGGAAGATAAGGCATCAGTTTAAGAAAGAGTCTGAACTGTGGCAATACATTTTCCCGACATGCTAAGGAATACGACAGCTTTTTATGCGTGTTTCAGGATGACTCCGCTCAGCTATATGGAAAACCACTTTAATACATGAGAAATAAATACTCTGCTATGTGC